TTTTTTTTTTTTTTTTTTACAACAACCTCCACAAAGTACTGTGCTAAGTTGTCGCCAAAACAGGTGTCTGGTGTGTGAGAGGCTGCTGCTGCAGGTGGTAAAAGAATTTACCAATAGTCAATTTAGAAAAGTTAAAAGAGTTTATTGATAATCTGCTGGTGAGCCATGGACAAGGGTAAGAGAGGACCACACTGTCAAGATGAAAGCCTGAGATATTTATAAGGGTTTGAGGACATGAAAAGGACATAGGGTGATCAAAAGCATCAGGAAGGCTTTCTTTAAGTCAGCCTGCAGTCCTTATCTCCCAGGAGCATCAGTACTAAGTTAATAGTTACACATTAAAGGCTCCAATTCAACATGATCCACTATTTTGGTTCTCACAAAAGGCCTTTGAGGCTTCATAAGGACGCCTGTGTTTACCAACTCCGGAAAAAGGGAGAAAGGCCATAGGGAGATAAGTGTTTCACGGAAAAGCTGTCTTATTTTTACTTTTACATGTAGTTAAGCACATATAGAATGTGATGATCAGTTAGTAGGTGCTGCTTCTGAGAAACCTGGTGGGGCAAGCAGCTGAGTTTACTGTAATTGTTCTGTCACTGTGGATTAACTTGTTTTCTGCCTATTCAGCCTCCACACCCAAGGAGTACTGTCCTGCTTTTGTAATTATCTTAAATGGGGTGTGTGGGGGAGTTTACTGGGGATCTAACCAGAGTTCACACATGCTAAGCAGGAGCCTTACTACTGAACCACAGCCTCAGCCCTAGTAAATAGACCTCACCCAACAGAAACCACCCCTCTGATGTATGTGCTGATTTATGTCCTTGCCTTACTCCACATTCTTCACTTTCATCCTTTAGTACTCTTTGGTCCTCAATTTCTGAGTGCTGTGTGTCTTCATAAAAGCACGAGTTTTCGACCTAGTTATACTGCTAGTGAGCTGAGTGACATGAAAATAAATCAAGCAACCTTTCTGGGCTTCCATTATCAGATCTATAGAGCAGCGGAGACTGGATTTGATGATTGATTCATTAGACATTTATTAGCCTTGCTGTAAGATCCTTTCCAGTTGTAAAATTCAAAACTTTCTCATCATGCTTCCCCACATTCATTGACCTTCCACATGGCCTTTCAGATTTTAGTGTTTCCTTCCATCATCACACACAGGCTTCTGCTCTGTGACTCTCCAAACCTTGAACGAGTCCTACCTGCGCTATTGCATACCCTGAAAATCATTTCTTTTGCTCTACTCCAAATATGTTTCGCCTCTCCTCAGTGTCTCTCTCAGCCTCTTCTCCTCCTGTCTAAATCTTAACATCTGCCAAGGTCCAACTCAAGCCTCTTTTTTCTCCCAGCTCTTCTACTTCAGCCCACATGAATTACTAAAAACTTAAATTGAAAATAGGCTGGCTGTGTTATTTCTTGCCTGTTTCCCTTTTTGCTGCTAACTCTGTCCATCCACCCACCACTCCCACCTCAGCTACCCTGGTAGATCAGACTGCATCTTTTGAGAATGCTTCCCTTGTACACGTGCTACTTTTTCATTTTAATTATTTTGTCAACTGAATTTCCGATTTAAATCTCTCGACTTTTTGCCCTTAAGCACATGCCAGATTATATTAATTCATTTCAAGAGATATTAATGAATATCAAGTGAAAAAATCTGGATTTCACAGTCCGAGAAGTATGGGGAAAAGCTAATTAATAAAATTAAACTTGTTTTCTATGTGTTTGATTTTGGTACTAGGAGTTGGAAACCAGGGCTTCTGCACTTAGCTATAACCAAGCCCTTTTTTGTTTTTTGTTTTGAGACTGTCTTGTTAAGTTGCTAAATTGCCCAGGTTGGACTCAAACTTGGAATCCTCCTGTCTCAGCCTCCCAGAGTACTGAGATTGCGGCTGTTTACCACCTCACCCAGCTTAAACATTTCTTTCATGCAATACTTCACTGCCTTTAGTGTGGTTGCCATTTCCTCAGAGTTGCTCAACCATGGCTTTCACTTATACTTGGAGAATGTCACACCTAATTGGTGTTCTACAGAATAGGTTTTAGGAAACAGTTCCATTGGAAGAAACACAGAGCTGCGAAAAGAATGTGACTGGAGCCAAACAAACTTGGATTTCTATGCCTTTTACAACTGCTAGCAAGATGACTCTAATCTGATTGCTTCACTCTGAGTCCATTTTCTCAACTAGCAGGAAAAGGCAGTGCTACTTACTGTATTTCCTTTGCAGAATTGTCACAAAGATTAAGGGAAAGGAAGTGCCTAGCGTAGAACCTCATTCCTTTGTTACCTGTATGGTCATAAGATACAATATATTGGTAAAAGTTCTAGAAAATGATAAAAATTAGTAGAGACCCTCATCAAGTGTTACTACTTTATCAACAATGAAAATAAGAGTTTATCTCAAAGAGAGGTAATTGTCTTCATCCTACTGGCTACATTTTCATTATTTTTGTAGAGATTATTGAGTAATACAAACAGTTTCTACCCCTGGTTTCTTCAATTGATAATAAAGTCAGTGAATGAAGAGTCATATTTTTTTCTTGTTCCCTACTATATTTCATCAGTAATAACATAGGAGCTGACTTACAAATACATGCTAAGATAACTGTTTAGTGAGGAGTAGCTCAGTGATAGAGCCCTTCTCCAGCATGCACCAGCTCCTGGGTTCCATATCCAGTACAGTTAATAGATGAGATAGGAGACAGATAGATGAATAAATACTTGTCAGATTCACAATTCAAAGCAAAATATACATTGCTAGATTAAAAGGTATCCAAGAAATAATGCTAGGCCAAATACCTCATGTATAGATAGAAAAGTGAGTTCTCAAATGATTTGTCACAAATATATTGGGATGGATTTTATTTGTTTGGTTTTAAAAATAGACACAAAAAGAAAGGCAGAACTTTACCTCTAACCTCTTCTGTTTCTGGCTGAGCCTGAGAAACTGACATAAGAGAGATTAACAAGAAAAAAACATGCACATTTGTCTGTGTATGAGTTGCGATCCAAAGTACAATGAATGGTTAAATTACTTTTCTAATTTATTACACTAAAAGACACACTGCTAGTAATCCTGCTCAAAATACTCCCCCTCCCTTAAGACACATCCCCCATTGTTCTAACCTTATTCTGAAGCAGCTCTGGAATTCCTCCTTTGTGAGTGTCTTTAGTTGTGCTGTCTTCTCTGCCTCGATGTCCTGAATCGTTTCCAAATGTTTAGTTTTCATGGTCATTTTGACTTTGGGGAAGGGTCAGAAGTCACACATGTGCTGGATCCCGTGAATAAGGTATATGAGGAGACAGCATAAAGATCTTATGAGCCTGCCTTTCCATCAGATAGTTTAGCAGTTACATGTATGTTCATGGACGTTTCAATCTCATCTCATTAA